AGATTTGGTAATGGATCACTTTATTGGAACTTTACCGCAATGAATTTTGCATTCGGAGTGATGTTATTATTATTTATCATTATATTATTAAATTGGTGGCATAGATAAATGAAGGTGTTACTTGGTTCCAAGGATTGTTGGGACGTTGTCGAAGATGGTTATGTCGAACCAGAAAATGCGACAACAGAGGCAACTTTAACTAATGAAGATAAACGAGTACCAAAAGAATCATACAAGAAAGATAAAAGGACGTTGTTTTTTATTTTTCAAGTAATAGATGAATATGCCTTTGAAAAAATCTCACATGCGAAGACCGCAAAACAAGCATGGGAGATTTTGCAAAAATCTCTTCAAGGTGTCGCGAAAGCGAAAAAAGTACGTTTACAATCGCTTAGAACTGAATTTGAAATGCTGAAAATGAGAAATACAAAAAGTATAAATGATTATGTTAGTCGTGTAGTAGTAAACAAAATAAAAAGGAATGGAGAACCACTCGATGAATTTAGAGTGATGGAAAAAATTGTGGTCACTAATACGAAATTTTGATTACATGGTCGTGACAATCGAAGAATCGAAAGATTTATCCTAGATATCTATTAACGAGCTTGTGGGTTCACTTCAAGCCTATGAGCAGAAGATGAAGTAAAATGAAGATTATGAAAATTTAGAACAAGCTTTGCAAAGCAAGATGAATGTAAATGAAAGTGAAGCTAGCAACAAATACACACAAGGCCGTGGTGGTTATCCTGACACATTTAGAGGTAGGCGAGGAACTTGTAGACATGGTGGTCATTCATATGACACCATTCAATCAAATGAAAACAACCAAACATCAGGCTGTGGACAATGATTTAGAGTTCGAGGTTGAGGTCAATATCAACAAGGAACTCACATATACAATGTTATAACTGCAATAAATATGATCAATTTAGTTACGAGTGTAGATCAACTCCGAATTAAGAAGAAAAAAAATAATGTACATAAGCTGAAGAAGAAAACGTTGAAAAATCCTGTGTTTTCCTGACTCATAAGGAAATAATGAATTTAAGAAAAATATTTGGTATATTGACAATTGTGCCAACAATCACATGTGTGGCCGAAAGGACCTGTTCGTGAAGTTTAATGTAACTATCCATGACCGAGTAACATTTGGAGATGACTCGCATGCAGAAGTCAAAGGCAAAGGCAAAGGCAAAGTTATGATCACACAAAAGAATGGTGAAAAAAATACATCTCATATGTGTATTACTTATCGGCTTTGAAAAGCAGCATCATCAGTCTTGGTCAACTCTTGGAAAAATGATATGAAATTCAGATGAGGAATCACTCCCTCGCCATAAAAAATAAAGAAGGTGACTTAATTGCTAAAGTTGCCATGACTTGAAATCGTCTCTTTACCGTTGACATCGAATTAGGATAAGTCAAGTGTATAAAGACGACAATCAAAGATAATTCTTAGTTATGACATTTGATATATGAACATCTTGGATTTTCGGGTTTAAAGATGTCATCGAAGGCAAATATGGTGAAAGGACTGTCAAAAATCAACCCTCCAAATCAACTATGTGAGACATGCATCAAAAGAAAGCAACAAAGACAAAACTTTGAAGTTTGTAAATTCTGACGAACCCGAAGGTAATTGGAAATTGTGCACACAAACATATTTGATCCTTATGATATTTGAAGTAGTTTACCCTTCTTTTAATTCTTAAATCGAGTGTTCGCCATTACATTTCATAATTCAAAACAGACCTAGAAATCATTCTTACAACAAGATGGTAGTATATCATCATTTTTCAGATAAGATTTATATCGTATAATATTTATATTATTCAATTTTTTTTCTTAATTAACAAAAAATTATATGAATCATTTAAGTGTATAATTTAAAAAAACTTGTATTTTTTTTGCCGCGGTCATAAGCGGTTTCACATTGCTTTAGAATTTTTACTTTTCTTCGTGGTGGTGGTGATTTTTTCCGGCCATTCCACTGTCATTTATTACTTTTACTTTTATTTTTTAGTTTATAATTGTTTGATTTGTTAGATTTCAGTTATATTTTATTGTATTTTCAAAAATGTTCTTTTTGGTCATTTCTCGGGTATCATAATTATCGGTACTTTCAAATTCCCGATGCAGGTTTTTCTCTCGGACTTCTTCTTAATTTCCTGATGCGTGGTCGTTTGCATATGACATTTTGTTGATTTTCGGGTATACGTGTCGGATGAGATTATGATTAAGGGAGGATTGATTTTTCTTTCGTTCACTTTGGATACTCTTCAAGTTCTCATCTTCTATGTATAGAGTTCAGGGACTTCGGGGTGATCTGTTTATGTATATCGTTGTCTCAATTATTCACGCTCATCAGGTTGTCACTAATTGATCATCGTTTTATTTTATTTATGGCTATCATGAATAAATATATGACATTATTTTACGTGATGTCTTTTATGATTAATGCAATCAACGTATTTATTTAAAACAAAATTATGTTCTCTTGAATAATTTAACAACAAAAAGAATCAATCAAAAGTTAAATTAATATTGGGTTAAAGTTTCTACAATCCCTTTTCCTCTTTCTTATCGAACAAATTAATTTGAGGGACATAAAAATTAGGGTTGTTGAGAAGTAAAATCTTGGACGCCAAATGAAATTAAATATTAAGCTTTGTATAGACAGAAATGGGCATCCAATTGTGAAGGGGTCATTAGTGATATATTAATTTAAGGAACTTTCTTTACATTGTCACCAAAAGGTTCATAAATCACAACTCTTGCCAACCTCTCCCATTTAATGCATTCATACCCAATATTTTATTTCCAAGGAAAGCAAAGAAATAGAGTGAATAAAAAAAAAACTATTGAACAACACTTATAATTGGAATGTATGTTCATAAACTATGATCGTTATTTTAAATTAATCTTTAAACTTTTAATCGTTTCGATCTTATCTTTGAATTATAACTGTTTTTTCTAAATTGATCGTAAAACTTTTAAATGTTCCAAATTCATTCTCAAACTTTTGAACATTCCAATAATGTCCCCCAAAATCATTCAAAAGTTTGAGGATGGAATTGGAGCATTCAAAAGTTTAGAGATCAATACAGAATGAGGGTCATAATGTTAGGATGAATTCAAAATATTTCAAAGTTTAGGAACTAATTTATAATGAATATAATTTGGGTTGAATTTATAATATTTAAAAATGTAAAGATCATAGTGAAATAAAGGTCATAATTAGAGATATATAGTGCAATTAACACATAGAAAAATAATGAGTAAGATTCTTAACAAATAGAAAAACTACATCAGATACCATCGAAATTCAGACGTATTGTTTATACCAAAGAACTTTCAGTTTTGTCAGTTATAGTATTGCACTTTGAATTTTGTGTCAATTATACCACTGAACCATTGAATCGTTAATGACACGATGACGTGGCTGATGAATGCCGACATGGATGACAATAGCCGATGTAGACACCTCACCAAAACGACGTCATTTTGATCCGACTATTAACGTTTTTAACAATTCAATGGTATAATTGAAATAAAAAGCAAATTTTAACTATAATTGACAAAATTGAAAGTTCAATGGTATAAATGATACAAATCTAAAATTTAGTGGTGTATGATATAATTTAACCTTATGATATACATCATATTTTATCTGAACCCAAAATGAATCTCTTAAACATACTCCACGGTAATCATTTTTTTGTTTAAAGATCTAACTATAGCATAGTATATATATAATATAAATAAAAGTACTCAAACTAAAAAAAATAAGGTTCCCCTTATTATTTGGACAAATTTTGAATTTATAAAGATTTTGAATATAATATAATTATAAGGATCAGATTAAAAGAGCTCTCACAAGAAACTTTTGATTTTAAAATTGATAATATTTTAGTTTGATTGTCGGTTTTAATTAATTTTTAATTCTTTTATAGAATCCACTAACTTTATTAAAAATAAAAAATATTCGAATTACAATGAAATCTTATAATTACAATCGTAAACTAAACACATAATAAAAATATTTTTAAACAAGAGAAAAATTGTCACTTAAGATCACAAGGACCATACAAGGAAAATGTTGAAAAAGCCTAATCAAATAAACTTAGATAAAAGGTATATACGAACAAATTAGACCGCATCGACAAACAAACTACAAAAGGAGATGAAACTATTGAAAGTTCATCGACAAATCGCAAATCAAAATTGAACGATGTGTAAATACTATTCACGAACAAAATTGTGTATCCAAATCCAATTCAAGGGTCTAAAACAGTGAATATCATGATGATAACAAATAAAGTGCTACCTTCATCAGTCATGACGATGTCAAATCCAACCTAAAAAAGAAGAATAAATGAAAATAAAACAAAAAACGTGCAATAAGAACAGAGAATAACGTGTCAGAAAATTAAATAAGAAGTATCATAAAAACATAATTATTAAAACTAAAAAACACGAAAAAAGATACACTTTAGTAAAAAAAATGAAAAAAATAAATTCCAACAATTGGATCGTCACTATCATAAAGATGAAAAAGAAAACAGGCTAACGACAACTAAGAAAAAAGAAAAAAAATAAAACAAACACAAGCCATTATTTAAAAATTTAAAATTTTAATAATTTCCAAATTATATATCCTTAAAAGAACTAAATATAGATAAAAAATATATATAGTATCTAATATTATATTTTAATATTTAATTAATAATATATAAAATTTAACTTGATCAGAATAATTCAAAAATCAAATTTTAAGTTAATCAAAATAAAATCTTTAATTTTTTTTGATCGAATTAAATTTTTTACAGTTCAAAGGTTTACTGGTCTAGTAGGGATCCGACGGAGCCAGAAAGGCGGCCGTCAACGACACGCCAGAAACCACCCACGTCTACATTTCTCAAATCACAGCCTCACAAAATATCCTCTTTGTGCCACCCTTATAAAATCCCAACCAAATCCAATTTTTTTATTCATTAATAATAAAGTAGTAAAAGGAATCGGTTCCTTTGGCTTCTCCTCTCCTCTCCCCTCCCCTTGCCTTAAACCATTAATAAACCCCTTACCACTTGCCAGCGAAACAAAAATATCTGAAATTTTGTGATTTTTTTTAGAAAAAAGTGAAGTGAGATGAGAATTCAGTGCAACGTATGCGAGGCGGCGGAGGCGGTGGTGCTGTGCTGCGCGGACGAGGCGGCCCTGTGTTGGGCGTGTGACGAGAAAGTCCACGCTGCCAACAAGTTGGCCAGCAAGCATCAGCGTGTCTCGCTATATTCTTCTTCTTCTTCCCATATTCCTAAATGTGACATTTGTCAGGTATTCCTTCAAAATAGAAAAAAATCTTCTGGGCTTTAGTAATTATGTTTATTCTAGAAGTCATTCTAATTTTAAGATAAGGTAGAATTTGGGTTTGATTTGAAGTTTTGGTCAGAGTTGCTTTAATCAGATTATCTATAAGAGAAATGAGATACTATTAGTAAATTTGGGGAAACCTTTTGTAGTTTATATATTTTAGGATCTTAAGTATTCTTAGCTTCGATCAATATTTTGCTGAATTTTTTATTTTTTTTACTATCCTTTTCGTTCTCTGTACTTCATTTTTTTAATAAAAATGAGTGGATGACTGAATGCAATGTTTAATTTGTGTAAAAGTAAAATTGTATATTTAATCTTTGATTCTTCAATCAGTTTGATTTCGCTGTTGCTTCGGGGGAAGCAAAAGATGAGTAGTGAGAGCAACAATCAAAGAATGGTGAAGAGCAACTCACAAGCAAAAACTGCTTTACATGGCTAAACATAATTACCAATGTATTTTTTTTTAAGTTGGTATCTTTGTGACCAAGATGTAGGAGGGTGGGGTTCATAAATATGTTCATACAATGACAGTTCATGGCTAAAAGTACGTCTTTCACAGGAAAGCTTTTTTAAGTTATGCCATGTCAGATGTCTAGGAGCTTGTCTAGCATTTTGCTGGTGCCTTTGATGAAGGGTTTTTTGGCTTGTCCATAGTTAACAAACTTATGGTCTTAAACCTTAGAGTGTTATTATTGCAGACCTTTTTTTCTTCTCTTCTTCTGTGCATCTTTATACAAGTTTTTCCTGATTAGTACCAGCTTTCTGATTCTGCATTAAGCTATCTATAAAACCAGTTTTTCTGTTGACTTGTGCTAAGTTGGATAGAAGTCGAGAAAGAGTGGCAACGTCTTCTACCATGGCATGTTAATAGTCATTTCTCAAAATATTATCATATCTACTGTGACATGTAGGCTGGAGTCTCGAACTGTTTGATTTTGTAGCTTAGTTGTCATATCTTTGTCTTTTTTTTTTTGGAATAAGTATTCCTTGTGACAATCATTCTATTCTGATATATCAATCTTTCTTGGCAGGAAGCATCTGGGTTTTTCTTTTGTTTGCAAGATCGAGCATTACTGTGCAGAAAATGTGATGTTGCTATACATACAGCAAATCCTTATGTATCTGGTCATCAAAGATTTCTGCTTACTGGAGTAAAAGTTGGTCTTGAAACAACAACTGACCCCGGTGCATCGTCTTCTGATGTCAAATCACCTTCTAGTGAAAAGACTTCAGAGACTAAAACTAATTCTATATCTAGAAGGGGGGCTCCTATGGCATTTACTGGTGGATACAATGTCAATGAGGTCCTACCATCAAATATTGGAGACGGGAACAATGAGCTGACAAAAGTAACATACGCAGGGGGTTCTACACCCGGAAGCATACAGACATGGCAAATGGATGATTTATTTGGGCTGACTGACTTTAATCAAAGCTATGGTTACATGGACGATGGGTCATCTAAGGTACGCTTATAGTTGTTTTGTGCTATGTTTTATATTGGTCTATGAGCGAATGCCTACCATTTTCTTCTTGTTTCGAAAATATTCATGTGCGTGCAAACTGAGTTCTTTATTAGGTTATATTATACTAATGTTGCAGCTCAGCTAGCAACTGTCTGGCTAATGCATCTAAGAGTTCTGTCTGGGTTATTTTTGCTGGATTCTTCCAGGCTGATGGTGGCAAGAATGGAGATTCTGACAGTTCATCAATCTTGAGATCTGTTGATGACGAGTTGGACGATGACAGGCATTTGGGTCAGGTGCCAGACTCGTCATGGGCTGTACCACAAATGCCTTCGCCTCCTACAGCCTCAGGGATGTATTGGCCGAAAGATTCTCGCAATCAATGTGATAGCGTGGTTTTTGTTCCCGACATATGCTGCTCAGTTATGAAAAACCCTTTCAATTCAAGGCGTACCGGCTCCTACCCGAAACGCCGGCGACATATTTAGAATCATCTGGTAAACTTAAAATGCACAAGTTGGTCTTCCCACAGTTCCAAATCCACCTTCTCAGGTGTGCTTACAGCCTATTATCTATATAGGCTTCTATCCTTCCATGCATCGGCTTGAACTACTTGCTTCCAGTGTGGGCTAAGCCGCTTTTTTTCTATGTTGAAATCATTGTCATCCTGCCGTTGATATTTTGGTTGATAAAACGAAAAACCAGAACAAAAAGGTGTACTAGAAAAAAGCTTGTTAAACGTAGTAGTTAATGTCAGTTTCTATTAATAGCTTGTATTTCTTCATGATTCACCAGCTAGAATATTAAAGTCTAGAGGTTTGACATTCCATTATTTTCATTGATGTTAGTTACAATCAGTTTGTAATCCGTGTCGTCGATGATAATCTTCGTGGTTGTACCAATATTTTTGACTGATTACCTGATTACCGAGACCTGGATGCCGAAAAACATTTCTTCAAGATTCATGACAACGCTGGTTCAAGCTCAAACTTGATCTTGTTCCAAGCTTTATCTAACTAGACAAGATATCAGTTGCAGCCTGCAGGCTGGCAACAGTTGGGGGAATGGTTCCTTATATTTTTGCATTACACAAAGAACCAAAGACTGATTTGCGACAGAGAATGCAATGATTGAAAAATTGATGATTATTGCAATGGAGCATCATCATACACAAACAATCCATGAAATGAATTGTAAATTATTAGTTCTTAACTATACACAATCATCGAGCAAACTAGATTTGGTTCAATCCACCAGAAAGATTCCAACTATAGTAGTTTTGTATGTAATCACATAGTTAAAAACTTTCATAAGGCCGGAAAGCCTACCGGCAATCTCGAAACTATACCGAAGAGGATTTTGCTTGTTACCTTGTTTATCTAGCAGGTCATGTCCAATTAAGAGGAAGGCGATCGGATACTGAGGGAGGCATGCTACAGACGTTGATGTTGAGGGGATATAAGCGGTATTTAATATCGAGGTCGTTGAAAATCTTAATCATCTATTCAACCAAGAGTGCCCTTCTTGTCCATCTCTCTCCCATGTCTAGGTGATTCATTTTATGTGTGAGTCATACTCCTATCCTCACTCTGTTCAGATCTTCGAATTCCTTTAAGACGATCATTGGATCCAGATACCAGTGGTCGCTCTTTTGCTCGAACGAAACTGCAGTGCATCGAATCAGACACGTTAGGCATATCTTCCATTACTTGTCAAACATGAACAGCAAAAGATTCTTGTAAACAAAAGCAAAGCGAGGTAAACAATTGTAGATTTTTCTACTCACCTCAATATTCTCTTCTTGATTAAACCAATTTTTTCTGCAGGAGTTTTAACATGGATACAGAATTCGAACGCATCACCCATATCCTGGCTGCGATAGTAGTTATGTATGGCCTTCGTAGCAAGGACACTGTTCGGGATTATGATCTTCTGGTTGTCGTATCTCAGGACAACAGTAGTCAAGACGTTCATTTCCTCCACAATCATCTGCAATTCATTTATTGTGACTTCATGAGAGCTCAAGCTTTTAAACAAATATTTCAGTAACCAGAGTTTACGTGAACGGTACGATAAAAGGGGAAGAAAGTTCACATGCTTATTCAGGTACCTGAAATCCATCGATTTCGCACCTGTCGCCCACGTCAAACGGGTGCATAATAAATATGAATATAATGGCTTCAAACACTGTCTTGCAGGTGTTCCCAAATATGAAAGCAACAAGAAGCAGTTGAGAGCTAATGAAAACGAGAACTTTGCTTGTGGCGATTTCGAGTATGAGGGCCAAAATAACAACTATGATTATGCCAACCAGAATGTCAACTACTCGATGAAGTCTGTTGACAGCCGTTTTGGTATTGTTCAGTGTCAAGGTGAGTGCCCTTTGTTCTCTGAAAGCATTGACCTACATAGAAGTGCATCATCACATTACTAGCATACATACAAAGGGGTGGACAAGGCCTTGTTTTAACAAATGCTTCGAAAATATAAGGTCCCCCTCCATCGAACGCGATAAAGACGGTGTTGCATATATTCTTACCACTCAATTCTTCAGGGCCTTCTTGCTAATTCTCCTGCTTTCGGATGCTTCTTCAAAGAGATTCATAATCTTCAAAGCTTCATCTTCTTGGAGAAAACGTCCAATGTCCTCCAAGTAGATGAACCTGAGACCACAATTATTAGCAATAAGACGAGGAAAAAAACATCTTAGGTTCATGTTTCTTACGAATTCAAACCAGCCAGACAATATCATGTTAACATTAAGCCTGCAACTCATCAGTTAAACTAAGAACAGCAACATGTAGTTACACTACTTATTCACAGCCAAGTAAATGGGAAAAATAGACTCACTTGGATCCCGGCTTAGAAACATTCTGAAATATTCTTCTTGCCGCAACTTTTGCCTCACGTTTTTTTTCTAATTTTGTTCGCAGACTCGTATCCGTGAGTTGAATTTTGTATCTGTTCATCTAGAGTGGAAAGAGACCCATGGCGGACTATATTAATCAACCTCTTCATATTCCAAGCAGACATTTTTATGATTCAATTTGTGCAGATGGTCAATCGTTATCCCGTATCATCCTTCTCTGCCTTCTCCGAAGAAAGCACACGGGAAATCATAGGGCTTTTCACTCCGGGACTTTTCTGGCTCCTTGCACTCCCTATCGGTCCCGCAGAAGGCGGAGACGGAAGGGTAGACGTCCTGAGCCCCGGAGGAATCTTAGCACCGGCTTTCTGCAGGCTCATAACTTCGTTCGCAAGTCTCTCTTCCTCCTCTGCCCTTTGGATTTCGATCAACGGAGGACAGGATGAGTCTCGATCACATATTGGTTGAACAACGAGTCCTGGATTCTATCGAAATAACTACTAACATGGAAAAGAGGCCAATACCTTCACCAAAAGAGTCTTCACTAACCACAACATGACTCCCACCACAAGACAAACCAAAACTTGAGTAACATATCCAAGAAATTTACTCTTGGTTTCCCTTTCAACTTTCTTTCAAGCAAGTAATTTCAAGCAATCAGAACCAAATTTTAGTCCATAAAATCATAGGGGAAAGGATGGTATAAGGTTTTGAAATTTAAAGGTGGGGTGTACGATTAAAAGGTGTGGGTTTTATTTGTTGGGGTTGACGGCTGGTCAAAGAGAAATAAAGAATGTTGGGATTTGGGGGATTAAAATTGGGGTAGATTGGTCGGCAGGAAGCAAATTAAAAATTGGGCAGGGGGATTGCTATTGTGTACCGGCTCCATGAGAGAGCTTCTAACGCATACCGTTTAATGAAACAGTGCGCACCGAATTTGGGAATTAAATTCCCTTCTGTCACGCGATACTTTGCTTCGGGCGAAGGAGTTTTCGCCATTGTTCGATCCAAGAATTACTCCCGGTTTCTTCGAATTTAAATAGTAACGACGGGTACCTGCAAAATCAAAATTAAAAATGTAAAAATAAAAGGGAATAATAAAAATAAAATGACAATGAAAATTAAGATTAAGATTAAAATTGATCAAAAAATTTAAATATGAGTTGTCTCCCATAAAGCACTATTTTTTAATGCGTTAGCTCGATGACCTATTTTCAGGCAACAGTTTCTTGTAACTCGATTTCCTCGACTAATCCGATGGGAGCGTTATCAAAATACAGTCTCAATCTTTGTCGTTAACTTTAAGTTGAGCTCCGGTATCATCTTTAATCTCGATCGCGCCATTAGGAAATATCTGAACCACCGTGAAAGGTCCGAGCCACTTCGACTTGAGCTTACCTACAAAAAGTTTGAGTTTAAATTAAATAACAAAACTTTTTGTTCGATAACAAAATATTTAAAAGAAATTTTGCGATCATGATATTCTTTTGTCCTTTCTTTAAAGATTCAAGCATTGTCGTAAGCGTTTCTTCAGATTTCTTATAATTCTTGGATATGTAACTTCGCCGATCACCTCCATTTGCATGTTACATTCTTTAACTTCCCAATCAGCTCGGTGTTCTAGTTCAACCAGTAAATGACACGGTTTATTGAAAACGAGGCGGTACATGGACATTCCAATGGGGCCTTTGTAAGCGGTTCGGTATGCCCAAAACACATCGGGTAACTTGAGACTCCAATCTTTACGGTTTCCTTTGACAATCTTTTCAAGGATCGTCTTTATCTCCCGATTCAAAACATTCACTTGTCCATTTGTTTGCGGATGGTATGACGTGGCGATCCTATGGGTTATACCAAATTTCTTCATAAGTGCTTCAATTATCTGGTTAATGAAATGAGTCCCTCAATTGCTCATTATCGCCCACGGTGTGTCAAATCTGAAAAAAATAATTTTTTTTTTCAAAAAGTTAATTGTGGTCCTAGCATCATTACTTTGAGTAGCCTTAGCTTCAACCTATTTGGAAACATAATCAATAACTAATATAATGTAAGTATTTCCAAATGACGAAGTAAAGGGACCCATGTAGTCGATTCCCCATACATCAAAGATTTCACATATATGAATCGGATGTTGAGGCATCTCATTTCATCAGCTTAAATTTTCCGCACGTTGACACGTATCACAGGCCTTACAAAACAAGAAAGCATCATGAAAAATCGTAGGACAAAAGAAACCGCATTCTAATATTTTATGGGTGGTTCGCTTCGGTCCAAAATGACCGCCACAAGAATATGAATGACAAAAATGTAGGATCGAATTTACCTCATCTTAGGAGACACATCTTCGGATTACCTGATCGGTGCAGTGCTTCCAAAGATAAGGGTCATCCAAAATGTAGAGTCGGGATTCTCTTTTAATTCGATTAATCTCTGCTCTCGGTAAATCCGAAGGTAATTTACCTGTAGCCAAATAGTTGACTATATCAGCTAACCAATGAGTAACTCCTTGCACCAACATCAAGCTTTCTTCGGGAAACTCCTCTCGAATTGGTGGATCAGTTATAAAGAGGGGAATACGACTCAAATGATCGACCACTAGGTTCTCGTATCCCTTCATATCCTTAATTTCCAAATCGAATTCCTATAGAAGTAGAATCCACCGGATAAGTCTTGGCTTTACTTATTTCTTGCTCATCAAATATCGTAAAGTTGCATGCTCAGAAAAAATTACAATTTTAGTTCCCAGCAAATACGATCTAAATTTTTCTAAAGCAAAGATAACTGAAAATAATTCTTTTTTTGTGGTGGAATAATTTTTCTGTGCCTGATCTAAGGTACGAGAAGCATAAGCTATGACATGTGGGTCTCTTCTAATTTTTTGTTCGAGAATCGCGCCTACGC